GTCATCGACGCATATGCCTGCATGCCTTGGTGCATAGTTGTAGACGTAGTAGTCGGCGTAGACATAGTAGTCGGTGTAGTCATCGACGCATATGCCTGCATGCCTTGGTGCGTAGTTGTAGACGTAGTAGTCGTCGTAGACGTAGTTGTCGGCGTAATCATCGACGCATATGTCTGCATGCCTTGGTGCGTAGTTGTAGACGTTGTAGTCGGCATAACCATCGACGCATATACCTGCATGACTTGGTGCGTTGTTGTAGACGTAGTAGTCGGTGTAATCAGATGCATATGCTTGTAGTCGACGTAGTAGTCGGTGTAGTCATCGACACATATGCCTGCATGCCTTGGTGCGTAGTTGTAGACGCAGTAGTCGGCGTAGTCATCGACGCATATGCGTGCATGCCTTGGTGCGTAGTTGTAGACGCAGTAGTCGGTGTAGTCATCGACGCATATGTCTGCATGCCTTGGTGTGTAGTTGTAGACGTAGTAGTCGGCGTAATCAGACGCATATGCTTGTAGTCGGTGTAGTCATCGACGCATATGCCTGCATGCCTTGGTGGGTGTAGTCATCGACACATATGCCTGCATGCCTTGGTGCGTAGTTGTAGACGCAGTAGTCGGTGTAGTCATCAACGTGTATGCCTACATGCCTTGGTGCGTAGTCGTAGTAGTTGGTGTAGTCGTCAACACATATGCCTCGGCACATAGTCATTGATGTGTATGCCTGCATGCCTTGGCACGTCAATGCCCACGCACCAAAGCATGCAGGCATACCATTGTCAACTGGACCACACCAAACACAGAAAACACATTCGACAAGACATTTGAGTAAATGAAAACACACAAAAATATGGCTTTTTATTGTTTAAATATTTAAATATTGTTTTATTAAGTTGTAGTCAGTGGTCATGCCTTGGGACATACCCGTTGAAGCGTATACCTGCATGCCTTGGTGCGTAGTCGTCGATGCATATGCCTGCATGCCTTGACGCATAATCATAGAGCTAGTTGTTGTAGTCGTCAATGCGTATGCCTGCATGGCTTGGGGCATAGTCGAAGTTGGCATAACTGTCGGCGCGTATGCCTGCATGCCTTGGCGCGTAGTCGCCGACGCGTACGTCTGCATGCCTTGGCTCGTAGTCGCCGACGCGTACGGCTGCATGCCTTGGCGCGTAGTCGCCGACGCGTACGGCTGCATGCCTTGGCGCGTAGTCGCCCACGCGTACGGCTGCATGCCTTGGCTCGTAGTCGCCGACTCGTACGTCTGCATGCCTTGGCTCGTAGTCGCCGACGCGTACGTCTGCATGCCTTGGCGCGTAGTCGCCGACGCGTATGTCTGCATGCCTTGGCACGTAGTCGCCGACACGTATGGCTGCATGCCTTGGCTCGTAGTCGCCGACGCGTATGTCTGCATGCCTTGGCGCGTAGTCTCCGACGCGTATGTCTGCATGCCTTCGCTTGTAGTCGTCGAGCAGCTGTCGTAGCAGCTGAATCAAGTCAAGTAAACCAGTACCAATTAGGTGTACAGATGAACAGACATTAATCAGGCTGAACCCATTTGAGTTCAGCTGAAACAAGTTGAATACGGCTATACCAACCTGGAGTACAGCTAAAACAATCTTGTAACCATATAAAAAACCCCGCCATACAGACCATGCCGGCAGGTTTGCTGTGGTTGTGAATTCAGGTGCAGTGCGCAGAGGTGGCATATTTCTTCTCCTTCTCAAACAAAGTGCAAAATGAGAGAGAGCACACAATCCACTTCAATATATATGTTTGTCTCCGCCCACAATAAGCCACACCTCTGCATTGTTTGCCTCCGCCCATAATAGGCCGAACTTCTTGAACTTGCTCTTTGTATTTTCTGTAAGGTGGTTAGTGTGACTGGGCTGGAATGAGGGTGTGTTTGTACTCGTATTTTAGGGAAATTCAGAAACAGACCTGTAGAACAGGTTTATTGGACACCTGTATTGAGTCATGAGTCATATTGTATTTGCAAGTACTGAACTGTGTTTTGTAACACTCTTTGCTGGAGGATTGAATCCATAATGTCAGATTTTGTTGGATAATGGTTTGAATCTTGCTGCAGACAGTAAAAAGGAGAGTAAATTGTGGCCTGAAAATGATGGTGGGATACATGAGGCTGGTCTGAGCTGCTTTGTGCACTGATTTCACTGGATTTCAGTGTTTCTAGTAGTTTATAATGCCCAAGATACTGGTGAGTCAAACTTGTGCTGTTAAAAATCTTCATCACAGAAGCTTCTGGAGAGTTCCAGTGTGCCTAGAGTATGTCACTGAAGCAGAAACAAGACACAAACTTCATTCAAACACAATGAGAATCACATTATATGCTGAGTATTCATTAATATACGAGATAACGAGGCAGATCTTGGTTTGGTCTGTACTTACTGTCAGGAGCAGAAACCACCAGAACCATCAATCATCCATCTTTACAAACCTGTTGGAAGGTAATAGAAAACAAGAGCGTTTAGGCATTCAAGGCATTGTGACAGTGATAAAGTTCTTGGCAGGGTTTTGTTGGTTTGTTCTGCTCACAGGAAACTATGTTTACATTAATTTGATCAAGACAAAGAATCTTTTCACACAAAAAATGTAACTCCCCCTCTTGTTGTTCCAAATATAACATTTCTTGTGTGCAACACATACAATATTTACCTGAATAATCTCAGTCACCATTCACCTTCACTGTGTGGAAAACAATGCAAAGAATATGAATGGTGACTTTTGTCTTCTACAAAAAAAGTTAAATGGGAGTGAGTCATTTCTATGTTCCCATGGTTCTGTGTTCCAGGGTTAAGATTAAGGTTGGGATTATAGGGTAGGGTAACATAGGAAAATAGGCTTAACCCAGGGATCTCAGATATGCTCCCATTTGAAATGACATGAGGGTGAGTAAATGATGACAGAATTGACATTTTGGGTAAACTATCACTTTAAACACACATTGTGCTGGGATTATCCATGTAACAATTGCTTTGGATAAAAGCATCTTACCTTAGTATTCTACTTAGCTTAATATCTCCAATAGCCAACCTGGATTGATTCCTTTTTAACTTTTGCAAAGCTTTCCATAAATATTCATACCTAACATTAAATCACAAAAGAATTGCCAGACTAAGTGTATCATTAAGAAGGTGATGTTATACATGAAAAGAAGTAGTCAGTACAAAGCCAAGACAAGGGGATGAAAGTGTTAGGACTACTGTCTACTGGACCACTCCAATGTGTTGCAAACAGTCATTTGAGTAAATAAAAACACAAAATATGGCTCTTTGTTTTATTTCAAAATAATGATACGACACATATGCCTGCATGTCCTGAGAGACATGTTTCCATGAGTTCTTTCAGAGATCCCACTCAAGTATACAAAATACAGACGACCACTGTCAACTGGACCACACCAGAGAAGTGTCGCAAACAGTAGTTTGAATAAATAAAAACACACAAAATGTCTCTTTATTTTATTTCAAAATAACCACAAGCTACAGTCAGTGGTCATGCCTTGAGACGTAGTTGTCAACACATATGCCTGCACAAATCTTATATGATATATTCTATTTCTATTCTATCTACTTGTTTTATTTATTATTTAAAAAACTTGACTTTGATTTTATAACATTAGCAATCTCTATTCTATTTCTATTCTATCTACTTGTCTTTTTAATTAAAAAAATGACCACTATATCACTAACATTCTTTATACTTTATGTATTCCATCTACTTGTTTTCTTTTTATTTATTATAAAAAAAATTAAATTCTTGCTACTTATACTGTATTAGACTAATCGAGACTTGTCACAGCACTTACATTATTATTGCTCTTTTGTTGGTTTGATTGCTTTTATTGTCTTCATTTGTAAGTCGCTTTGGATAAAAGGATCTGCTAAATGAATAAATGTAATGTAAGAGGTTATAATTAGAGTTAAACAAATGAGGTTAAAAGACAGGGTGGTATCATATTCAGAACATGAAAACATTTAACTCAGCTGGTTCATGATGCATTACACTATTTTTCCATTATGCAGAACAACTTGTTTTATCTGGAATGTTAGTGTCTTATTTGTTTTCCCCATTACACGGTCTCATTTAAATTGTTTTGCTGACTAATATACATAACCTATGTGAAAAATAAATAATGAACAATAATCAGTATATAATGTGGCATACTAAACTTGACCGTTATATTGAGTAGATATTTTAAATAGTCTTAATCTCAAGATGCATTCACACAGACAGTCTATAATAAGTTCCAAATAATGCAATAAATAATAGTAATAATGAGCAATACTTTTGTTACAGTATTTATTAATCTTTGTTAACATTATTAATAAAAATACATTTGTTCATCGTTAGATCATGGTAGCTCACTTCCATTTAATCAAATTAACAAACAATTTTTGATTTTAATAATGTATTAGTAAATATTAAAATGACCTAAGATTAATAATGTTACCTATTTGTCTTTGTTATCAACTGTTTAATGAAGTTTATATGATATAAACAGGGTTTAACAAAGGAACAGGGAAGCTAAGATAAAGAGCATTAACACAGACCTATTCAAATTATATGAAAATGTGCAGCTGGTTGATGATTTGTAGTATTTTTCCATTTCATCTGGAATCTTTGTTTCATTATTCCCCCCATTATTTCAGATTAAAAGCAACAGCTGAAAACAATAATTCAACTAAACATTTAATGACCACCTGATAAATGAGAAAATCCAGACATTAAGAATGAAATCCAGTGAGTAAAACTACAGATAAACTGCTGACACCGAATGTGCTGAACTCTCAACTTTAAGGAGTCTCAAATTCTAAGATCTGTTCACAATGACTGATTAAAAGAAGTGACTGTGGAGTTCAAATGAGTTTGACACTGAATGCATTGAAATTGTAGACTCACTCATTTTTACATTAAATGTAATATGATCATCACATGTACAAAATGCCAGTAAATAAGCATTACAAATGTGTACAGTCAACTACTGTGGGGCATTTATTAAATATCACACACAGAATAAATAATAGAATAGAATAGAAAGAGAGGCAGAAAATTGATGCTTACAAGAGAGCGAACAAATATTACTCACACTGTACGATCAATTGATCAATAAACAGTCACATACTGCAAAACAAGCAGAGATTCAGAAAAATTAACACATATTCAGAGCTGTAAACACTGCTAAGAAATACCAAACACTTTTCAAACATCTCTCCTCCATTACATCATAATAAACAATCAAATACTGATTTTTGTTAGTTTGTGAATTAATGTGTAAATTTGTCACCTCTGAAATATGACATCTGTCTGCAGTTCAGGCCGTTCATGTCCATAAACACGTCTGCTGTAGTTTACAAACTACATGATTTATCTGGAAATTAAGACTGACAACAAAATCACATCAAATACAAATCAACATGGCACAAAAGTGATTTTGTAATGTTTACAGTTGAACCCATCATGCAGCAGACAGTGTGACGTGTGCAGAAAACGTCTCATAAGTGCTGATATCAGTGCGTAGAAATCCATGCAAACACATATCAGATGTATAAAGTGCACAAACACACCAAACCGAGACAGCAGTGCAATTAGCATTAAGAGAAACACACACACACACACACTTCTCTGGCCTTCAGTAGGGGATCTGGTTCTGATAGTACTGGATTATGTCATACGTTTTGCTCCTGGAACAAACAAAAACATTTAATATTATAAGCACAGCGTTTAACATTAAAACAAGTCAGGAAACGAGATGCATCAATGTGTGTGAGAGACACTGACCTGCTGCTCAGGAAGCAGTTCTGAATGACTTTGATGATAAAAGCTGCTGCTTCCTTCTCACTCACTCCAGGGTTAAAACGCTGCCTGCAACACACATGATTCACTTCAAATCAACAAACTACAAGCTATTAATTAGTTAATTGTATCTATCTATCATTTAAAACCATATCAACATCAAAGGTAAATTCATGACAAATTCAAGTAATAAATTTGAAATAATCATAATATTTTAAACAATTGCATACAGTAATTTAACAATATCATCTTTACAAACTAAATCAATAAAAATAAAAATGTAAAAAAAATAATACAAAAATAACAATAACATTTACATAAAATGCCATTTTTATATTTGATCAAATGTCTAATATTTTTCAAGGACAAACTTAAAAACAATGCCTAATATTAAATTGCCTAACAATCAATTTAAACTCAAGGAAGACTTAAAAAAAAAAAAAAAAAAAAAATCCAATTTATCCCATCCCAGCTTTTAAAAAATGCAAAAACACCATTCACCATTACACTATTTGAAAACTGGCGTAACACTAGCTTTATGCAACAGGTGCCCATGAGAAACATACATTTAAACCGGGGGTCTATCCATAATTGATTATAGTACGAAATCAAGGATTTTCCTTCACACTCACATGACTGAATGACAGGTGGTGGTGCATGTTCCTGAATGGTGGTGGTGTAGGTATCCTCTGTCTTCTCAGAGGGCAGTTCAGCAGGGGCAGCAGCCTCTCCTCCGGCCATTACTATCTCCTTTAATCACATAAATCACATTCGTTATTAATCTCATTATTAATCTCATTAATGTGTGTGTTTCTGGAGATCTTTTATGATGCGTTCTTAATAGTAACTTTTTAACTCCTTAATTTTTCATGTTCATAACAACCAAATATATGTATATGTATATTGATTTGTGTTTATTACTTCAAAAAGTCAGTAATAATTAATCTCATTCAAATCCATAGCTCGATTTTTCTAAACATTAAATTTTTTCAATATAAATCAAATATGTTTTCCCATATGAATCAAATATAAATCACATTTCCTCTCTGCTCCACTGTTAGTTGTTTTGAACTCACTTGAGCAGTTTGATGGTCTAACCGCGGAAGCAGGGCAATCCTGTATCCAGCATCAACTCACACACACACACTCACTCACTCACTCACACTCACATTTTTCAGAGACTTTTTCAGGGAAATTTTCAGAGTCTTGAGGTACATTTTTCAAAGACGAGGACTTTTTGAGAGACTTTTTCAGGGACTTTTTCAGAGTCGTTTTCAGAGACTTTTTCAGCCACATTTTT